GAGGGGAGGGAACACTGTTAGATAGATAGAGATAAGTTTTGATTTGGGTGAAGAGAAGGGCAATGTACCAAATGTGAGTGATCAATATAATGGCACTGAGGAAGAGAAAGACATAGAGAGGTACGTGGGAAGTACAGACAACAAAGATGAACCCTTTTGCATGCATAGTACGGCGTTGTCATTGAAGGCAAACATGGGTATATGGGTGGATAGATGAGTGGACAGGCTGAGCTATTGGGTATGTCTATGAAATGGGGAGTGCACCCAAGAATGTATAGGGTTGGCAGACAATGGTCCTATAACTTTATGTGTATGATCTGAATTCCCAGGTGTATAGTGGAGCTGACAAGGGGCAAGACTGTGGTCACGGCTTGGTCATAGCCAGCTACCCAGAGGGACTGAGTAGTTGAACCTGTGGGCTCAGGACCACAGTCACAGAGGACACCAAGCTCAACTGGCATAACATACTACACAAAACATTGTTCCACCTCCTACTGTGGTGAGTAGCTACTGGGATCTTAAAAGCTTTCTAGCTGCCATCTAATGCAACGATGGGTCTCTCCTCGTCCAGAGCAAAGAAGAATGAAGAAAACCAAAAATTCATGGAAACAATTAGTCCTAGTGACTGGTACACCATCTGATCTGCAGCCTATACAACTATGAGACCAGAAGAACTAGATGGTGCCCAGCTACCACTGTCAACCAATTAGAAGAGGATCTATGTAGGAGATCCTGGATAGAGAGGGAGAACAATGTGGAACAAAACTAAAAATCTTTTAGAATAAAAAAAGAAGGAAGGGGGGACCAGGTTTGCTGGTCCGATAGAGCCTGGTGGAACCACTGAGACTATGGCCCCTAGCTGCCTGTCAGGTCTGGAACTGAACCCACACCTGTGGCTTCCAGCCAAACAAGAGACAGGTATATGAGTTGAACATTTACCTGAGGTAGATACACTCCTTGGAGAGAACAATCATGGGAGAAAGAAGGGCTGCTCATGCACAGGGAGACAGCTCAGGGGGCAGGAGTGCATGGAGGGATGGACACAGGGAAGAGGTAACTATCGGGAGGAAGTAGGAGGGGAGATGTTGCATTGTGGTAAATTGTGGTCAATGTCATGAGACAAAGTGTATGTGAACTGCTGTATGGAAAGTGTATTTGCTCTGTAAATCTTACCCAAATCACAAAAAGAAAAAAAAAAGATTACAGCCCTGAAAACCCTAAGGGACACTTCTATTTTGTCCTATAGGGTTGGTATGGGTTGGAATAGACTCAATAGCAGTGGGAGGCCCTCAGGGAATTTACAAGATCAGTAGGGAGGATGTCACAGACATATAACCATGACACTAGGAAGAAGACAGTCCAAGACAGAAGGAGGTACTAAGCACCATGGAAACCCACATAATTCAGGGATGAGGTGGCTTTTCAGTGGGCTTTTGCCAGGGAAGGCAAGAGGAAGGTGTTCCAGGAGTGAGGCACTACAGCATAGGCACAAGAGAAGAAACACAGGGGGCTGTTCAGTGCAGTGAGTATACAGTATGAGCACACAGTAGGAGTAGACGAGTTGAGGGCCAGAGCTCAGAAAAAGAAACTGAGGCCAGGTCACATGTGGGAACATATGTGCATACATGTGCCAGGTGTCCCTAGCAGTACATGTGCAGGTAGGTGCTGGGGGGACTCTGTATGGGACTTGGTAGGTTCTGGGGATAACTGAAAGATAACATCAGAGCTACAATTTAGGAAGGTCTAATAACTGGGAGCTCTGGTGGCACAGTGCCTAAGGCACTTGACTGCTAACCAGAAGCACCAGCCACTCCCTGGAAGGAAGGTTGGGCAATCTACTCCTGTAGTGATACTGCTTCGGAAACCCAAAGAGGGGTCACTGTGAGTCAGATCCGACTTGACGGCAGTTTTTTTTTTTTTTTTTTTAATAACTGGGAAATCTACTTCTGTAGATACACACAGCCTTTCTGTTCTCCCATGATTGATCTCTCCAAGGAGATATACACAGCCTTTCTGTTCTCCCATGATTGATCTCTCCAAGGAGTCTATCTACCTAATGTAAATGCTCAGCTCATATGCCTGTCTTTTGTTTGGCTGGAAGCCAAGGAGGGGTTGCTATGAGTTGGAACCAACGGCAGTGAGTTTTGTTTTTAATAAGGAGCCTAGGTGGCTCAACAGTTAAGCACGTGGTTGCTAATTGAAAAGTTGGTAGTTTAAACCCCACAGCGGCTCTGAGGGAGAAAGACCTGGCAGTCTGCTTCCGTAAAGATTATAGACCAGGAAACCCTATGAGGCTGTTCTACTTTGTCATTTGGGGTGGCTAAGAGTTGGAAACAGCTTGTTGTTGTTGTGTGCCAGTGAGTCGGACCCAATTCATAGCGACCCCTCCTTGGGTTTCCGAGGCAGTATCACTACACCATCTTCCTTCCGAGGAGTGGCTGGTAGGTTCAAACCGCCAGCCTTCTGGTTAGCAGTCAAGTGCTTTAGGCACTACGCTACCAGAGCTCCCAGAAACAGCTTAGTGGCACCTAATAACACCTGAGAATGGATTCAATGGGGAGAGATTAGGAGGCACTCTGACAGGGGTCCTGTTGAGAAGTGAAAGGGTTGTGTGAAGCTGAGGGTAGACACAAGTAGAAGGACACAAAGGAGAGATGTGCAACTCTAGCCAGGCTCTAGAGAGGATGGCGAGAAAAAAAGACCACTGAGAAAAGACCACTGGCTGGGCCACTGACACTTTGAGGTAGTGGGGCAGGAGCTAGACTTGGCAGAGCTAAAGCAAGAATGAGTGACCAGGAAGCAGGGGGCTCTGATCTACCCTGCAGCCCCAGAGTTCTCTATCCCTTGCCTTTGCCTCAAAAGACTGAAAACCAAACCCACTGCCATTGAGTAGATTCTGACTCATAGTGACCCCCATAGAATTTCAAAGGCTGTAAATCTTTATGGAAGCAGACTGTCACACCTTTCTCCGATGGAGCTGCTGGTGGGTTCAAACTGTGGACCTTTTGGTTAGCAGCAAAATGCTTTAACCACTACACCACAGGAGCTCTTCTACCATTGCCTAGTGAAGTTGAAAGATAACTTACTCTCTGTTCCTAGCACGATGGGAAGAGAGCCCTTGGATCTACGGGATTTCATCTCCGGGGCCTTGGCATTCTCACTGGCAGGAGCATCTGGAACAACACAGATAATAACAAATATTAGTCACAGCTGCCCTAGGAAGTGAACAAAGGAGGTATCAAAATCAAAACTATGCACCCCCTACCTCCTTCCCACGGCCACTGAGCAGAACGGAGCCTGAGGCCATGGCACCTGCTTCCCCAAAGCACCGAAGAAGGAATGTCAGCTCCACTGGGCCTTGCAAATCAGGTTGTGAGAGCACAGCCACACAACAAGATGGATGGACAGGATATCCTGGGAGCTGAATGCTTTCCTCTTAGGGGACCAAGCTCATGCTGTCAGAAATAATATTGCTTAGGGTAACTGGCAGGGTGGGGCGAGAGCTGTCTCCCCTCTGCTTATTCTTCCCCATCTTTTTCATTCATTGAGTCTTGACTCAGGCTAAATGTTCTAGATTTCCAAAAGCTGGCTCTGTGCAGAGAGAAACCTTTTATATAGAGGAAGAGGTGCCAACGTCCCTGCATTTGAATTCATAGTCTGGTGGGGGCTTGCAGCCTTGATTCCTTAGCCTCCATTCCACAGATAGACACTGGCTCCAGGTCAGGCAGAATGACAGTGAGTGAGCAGCTAGCATGCCTCACCCTCCTGAGACTGAGCCCTGCATGCATCTTGGAGACTTCTGCTACCAGATACCAGTTGCTATTAAGTCGATTCTGACTCAGGGTGACCCTAGGTGTGTCAGAGTAGAACTGTGCTCCAAAGTACAGTTCGAATAGATTGTCAGTCCTTTCTTCCAAGGCACCTTTGGGTGGACTCAAGCCTCCAACCATTTATTTAGCAGCCAAGCATGTTAGCTGTTTGCACCATCCAGGGTGTCCTCCCCAAAGCAGACACAATGAAACCCTGTATCAGCAGCCTTCTGGGCAGAAAAGAGTATGCTGAGAAGGTGAGTGCCCGACTCCTCAAGCCTTTACTATACATCCTATTTTCTAGGCTAATGGAAAGCAATGTAGATAATGGCATAGAAACCCTCCCTTATCAGGGCAGCAGGGTAACATCACTCTGGGCTGGGATTGGTGGAAAAAGCCCTCTCTGAGGCCTGGGAGATGGGACTTGAGGAAGTGGTAGGGAAACCACCCAGGGCCTGGGATAAGAAGTTGCTGGCTGAACTGCTATCGCTATGCCCCAGCATTTTCACTGGCTTTCCTCTCTCCCACACCCCAACAGTCTTTGGGGACAGTGCTGGGAGGGAGGCTCCCCCTCAAAGCCCCCTTCCTGTCTGTCCTTTTCCGGTTCCAGTAGAGAGGAAGCTCAGTGAGAGGAAGGAGGGGGTGGGACTTTCCAGCAGAGACTTCAGCCACATTCCTGTGGCTTGGCTGGGGAGGGAGGGCCATCGCATTGTCCCCGCCTCCAGGATGGGACAGGTTGGGCTGCTAACACTGGCTCCTGCCATGCTCTCCCCTGGATGGGGCTCCTGGGGCTGTGGGGTGGGGATGGGAATGGGGAACACAGAATAAAGGGGCTGTGGATATGCCCTACCCTGACACATGGACTCTCAGACACCCATCTGGATGCATTTCTCTTTCTACATGTGAAAGGGCTCAGCTGATAACCAAAAGGTTGGCAGTTTGAACACATCAGTCACTCTACAGGAGAAAGATGTGGCAGTCTGTTTCCATAAAGATTTACAGCATGGAAACCTTATGGGGCAGTTCTATGCTGTCCTACAGAGTTGCTAGGAATCAGAATTGGCTTGATGGCAATGGGTTGGGTTATATGGTATCTGGGTCCCTTTCCTTCTCCAGAAAGTAGACTTGCCCACATCAATTCTTCTATACACCATAGTTTCTGAGGCCTAAATACCAGTCATACCTGGTGCAAAAATTAATGCCTGTGGCTGCTAGTTGCAAGGTTGGAGGTTCAAGTCCAGCTACAGGCACCTTGAAGGAAAGGCCTGGCAATCTATCTCTGAAAAATCAACCACTGAAAACCCTGTGGAGCACAGTCCTACTCTGACACACATAGGGTCACTGTGAGTCAGAGTCAACTCCACAGCAAGTGGTTCTGAACACCAGTCAGGTTTCTTTCCCATCCTAATACCAGTCCACTTCCAGTTTATCCAGGGACAGAGGCCCTGTGTGAGCACTGTCTAGGCTTGACGGCAGCTCAGAGGCAGACTGGGCATCCTATGAAGAGTCTTCAGGACCATGGGAGCAATTCCCCACCAAAGACGTCCAAAAGCCAAACTTGTAACTGTAGGAATGATTAAGTGTTGGTGTTGAGTAGAACTTCCTAGCTGTATGTGACAGAGGATGGGGTAGGGGAACAAAGCAGGAAGAGATCATTTTAAGCAGCACTTGGTAACCTGGCCCTGATACCCATTCCCCATTGCCTGTTACCTTTCTCTTGCCACCTTCCTCAAGAGCAAAGGAGCCTCAGATGGTGAGTCAGTGGTTCCATCATCTGTAGCTCACACTGCCAAGCTTGTGTTCTACTCTTCAGGGGGCCACCTACACCACATAAACCCCATTCCCAGTGCAGGCATGGAGGGAGAAGCAGGTATTCCCTAGGGATAATGGCATTCTTAGTGCAGAAAAGTCCTCAGGACATTTGTCAAGCTTGATGGTTCTCAACCTTAGCTGACATTAGAATCACCTATACCTAGGTACCTCACCTCTGCAGATCCTGGTTTAAGTGGTCTGAGGTGGGGCCTGGGCATCAATAATTTCTAGAAGTCCACAGATAATTCTAAAATGCAGCCAGGGTTGAAAACTTCTAGTCTCTCTCAAGCTCTGGGTGTATGTGTATGTGTGTTGAGGTGGAGGTGTTGTTATAGTGGATATCTGGGGGCACACTGGGGTGCTATAAACCAGGGACATGGGGTACATCTACATGAGATGAAGTTCCTTTGTCCTGTTGTTGTTGTTGTTGTTATGTGCCGTCGAGTCGGCCCCGACTCATAGCGACCCCTCCTTGGGTTTCCGAGGCAGTATCACTACGGAAGTAGGATTGCCCAACCTTCCTTCCGAGGAGTGGCTGGTGGGTTTGAACCCTTTGTCCTGAGACCTCCCTTTTTCCTTTCTTTCAGGACTAACCCTTCTGACAGTCACTGTTGACAATTTAAAGAAAAGTGTGCCTAGAATTTTCTCTTGTTTGTTTTCCCCCTTTTTATAGGAGGGTAGTAGAGGATGTAGGAGCCCTGGTAATACAGTGGTTAAGTGCTAGGCTCCTAACCAAAAGATCAGTGGTTTGAACCCATCAGTGGCGCTCTGTTCCTGTAAAGACTATGGCCTAGAAAATCCTATAGGGCAGTTCCACTGTGTCACACGGGGTTGCTATGAGTCAGAACAGACTCGATGGCTCACAACAATAAAAGCAGAAGATATAGCTAGGTCTGAGTTCCTCAGCTTCAACACTTTCTTTGCTCCCTTTATCCTGGTGAGTTCTGGAGCATAAGAACAGCATTGCTTTGCTGATGGTTAAACTGAGGCACTGGTAAGCAAAGGATGAGAAGCCCAGTTTCCCTAGGTTCTTGAAAGAGAGAAGGCAGGAATAGAGAGACTCCTTCCCTCCTTGGATTGTGCTCGGTTTTGCTTCCAAGCATCATCAGAGTAGGGGTTGAGAGAGGAGGGTTCTAGTTTTGCCTTTGTCACCAGCCATCTTGGGCAAATAACGTAAGCTGCCCTGTGTGTCTGTTTCCATATCTGTACAAAGAGAATGGCATGTGTTTTCTCTTCCTTATGGTATGAGGCTCAAAGGAGAGAACACATGCAACAATGCTCTGGAGAGCAGAAAAGTGATCATTTACCTACTCATTCATTCATTCCTACTGGTAACCACCTCCCTCACCCCCTTGCACATCTGCTTTAAAATTCTTCACCTCCATAAAGCCCTGAACAGCCTGTTTCTGCTCTCAGCATCTGCCTTCAGCTCTGGGGTGCTGGATTCACACTGGCCGTGTGAGCACACTACCATATGATGCTCTTGGAGTCTTGTTTTTAGAAACTCTCTTGCATCTTATCTTTCCATCTGGCCAGGAGGAAAGGAGCTCACATTTCCCTTTCAAACCAGCACCTCTCAGACTTAGAGCCTTCCCACCAGAGCCCCGCCCCACCTGAAGCGTGGCGCCATGGACTGTGCAGGCACCCTGGGGCCCAGCCAGGGAGGCTGAGAGCCTGGACCTCCGTGAGAACCACAGCAAGGAGTGGGCTGGAAGGACCATGTGCTTAATCAAAACCAGCTTTGTGCTCACACAGCTGCCCAGGGGATAAAAATAATAGTAATAAAGTTGAAGAGCAGCTTGTATTTTCTGTCTATTTTAATCATTTTGTGATGAAATTGAACTCCATTTCTAGATCTGGGCCCCAGGGCTCAAGTCCTTTGCTGGCCTGGCTGTGCCCCCAAAGAAGCGTGGGGTGGGAAGACAGAGGTGTGGGGAAGTGGGGGGCCTCTCCAAGGAGAAGGAAAACGTATCCTTATATGGACATTGCCTTACCCCTTCCACTCCTGGGCTAGCTCTATACTCAAGCCCTCCAGGGCAGCATTATTTTTCCTATCTCCCCCAAGAGGTTAGTTTGCTGGGCTCTGACCCCAGCCAGGGAGAATGAGGTCTTGGGAGGGTGCTGGGAGGGGCTTGAGCTTCCTGGAGCCCCAAGTAGGGCCAAGGGTACAAGGATGGCCCATTCCTTCTTGCTCACATGCTAGCATAATAGAGACAGAGAGATTTCAAGTCAGAAAACCTGAGCTCCCTTCTACCTCTGCTATTTAGTGCCTGTGAGTCCTTGGGTAAGTTCCTAAAGTTTTCAGAGAAGTAACCTCCTCACTAGGAAAATGATAACAACACACCTCAATAGAAAAGGAGGAGTGAACGAGACAGAAAACAATAGAGCTGACATTTATTGCGTAGTCACCACATGCCTGGCAGTATGCTAAGTGCTTTATATACTTGTATCAGGTTGAATAATATGCATTCACTAATATTCCATTGTTTTTGACCTATAAAAACATAATTTTACTTAGTTCAACTAATACATGTTAGCTGCCTGTACTGATGTAAAGAATACATGTGAAAGTGTGAGCAGACATATGAATATTGCAAAACTGATGTCAACAAAGGAAGGTGGGTTGACATTAGCTCAGCAAAAGTCAGATCTGCCCATGGCCACAGTGGCAGTGGAGCAGTGGTTAGAAGCCAAGGCTTGGGTTTGAATCACCACCCAGCTAGTTATTAGCTGGGTGAGTAAGTGACTCTGTCTCTGTGGGCCTCTAACCAGGCCTTTGTTACCATTTCTCCCCTGAAACCTTCTTGTTAAAGTCACCAATGCCCTCCACATTGCCAAGTCCAACAGCTCATGCTCAGACTCACTTTACTCAACTAGGCAGGAGCATCTGACACATTGATCATGGTCATTTCTTTCTTCCTGAAATTTTCATCACTTGGCTTTGGGGGCACCCCTCTCTCCTGGATTTCTTTCATTCCTCCTTAGTCTCCCTCCTTCACAGAGCCCTGTCCTGCCCCTGCCTATCAGTGTTGGAGTATTTCTCTTCCTCTCTGCCCCACTCTGTCTTGTCATCTCCATGCACATTCATTCCTAGGGGCCTCACTCAGTCCCAGGAGTAATTACCTGAGATCACATGACTTAAGTGTTCATCTGTGTCACTGCATCTCCCTCACTAGAATGGAAAATCCCTGAAAGCAGAAACTTTTTCTGTTTTGTTCCCTGCTTTTAACCCCAGCCCTAGAGCAATGCCTGGCACAGATATATTTCTTGAATGAATGAATGAGTATTGGAATGAGTGCCCCATGGAATGTCACCTCTTACCACAACCATACACCACCTTCCATAGTCATGGAGCCCTGACCCCATTGGTAGCTGGCAGCACTTGAGCCGTGGCCTGGGCCATGGAGGCTAGGGAAGGGAGGCGTGTGCTGGAAGGGCTGGATGAGCCACCAAGGTTAGGGTCTCTTCTGACTCCTATTTTTGGATTTAGGTCAAGTAGGGCTTTGCTTCCTCATTCTTCCTCTGGGTCTGAATGAGAGGAAATGGATCACTAAGGCCAGGTGCACAGAAGGACTTCCCAGCAGGGAGGGCTGCTTCAGGGGAGATCTGGAACTGTCAGAGGTCAGGCACTGTCATCTTAATTCATTTAATTCACAGAGAGGCCATGCTAGGTTGTGGGAAGGGTGCACCTTCAGAATCAGATATACTTGGGTTTGAATCCTGCCATGGTAATCCATACTGCAACATACTGTGCAGGGTGGTGGGAAGGCTGTGGGCTTTGGAATCAGAGATATCTGGGCTCAAACACTGGACCTACTACTTACTGTCTGACCTGGGAAGGCTATTGGCCCTCATTGAGCCTTGGTTTCTCATGGAGAAAGACACTCTGCCTAGCTCTTGCATAAACTGAAAATGCGTAATGCACAAGGGTCTCTGGCCATGGCAGCCACCAGAGGTCATTTTTTCCCCTGGTGGGTGAGTCTTCTGCCAGTCCTTTATCCACTCAAGCCTTCAATTCCTTTCTGCAGTTTCTGTACAAACTACAAGCTTTCATTTGCTGAGCTCGGAAGGAGCTATTTGGTGCACGCTAATAAAGAGTGACAGTCGAGGGCAGCCCTATTCAGTGGCAGAGGGAGGCCAGCCAGAAATCAGCATTAGTTGCTGTCCTCACCCCTAGTGGAGAGGGACCTGACTTCTTCTTGGGGGCGGGAGAGGACAGGGAGGGAGGCGCAGGACCAACCTCATCCAGGATCAGGCAGGTAACTGCAGATGGAGGGAGAGCTGAAGAACCTGTACAATGACTGGGCTTAAAATTTCAATAATGGCTACTCCTTGGGGCAAGAAATTCTTCAATATATTTTGATTCATGAATCCTTCTGAGAATTTGAGGGAAAAACTATGCATTTTCTCCTCAGAAAAATACTCTGAACCACTACACACAAAATTTTGCTGATCATGTCAAATTGTGCACAGCCCCTTTGGGATCTCTAAGTTCAGTACTGTTGTTTTGAGGAGTGGAGAGAAAGCAGAGAGGACAGGAAGCACACAAAGTCAGTGGAGCGCAGGAGGTAAAAAGGTGCTGAAGGTTGGCAGGGGACTATAGTTCTTTATTGTTTGCCTGGAGGTAGATCTTAATGGAGAAATAATGCTAAATGGGGCAAGAAGCCCACCCGCCATGCAGGACTCTAATGACTCTCCAAGTATAGCAACAGGGAAAAGAGTGGGGGTGGAGGGGCTGCCTCTTATTTCTTTGCAATAAACAAAACAACCTAAAACTGAGAGTTGGTCCTGTTATCTCAGCTGGCCTCCCTTCACCACTTTTCCAGCTCTTCTTTCAAGATCTAGCTCCCAATCTGCAGCCTGAGGCCAAACTCTGCAAAAGCCTCTTGAAAGGAACCAGAGATAAATAATGATGGTCATTAAGATTAGTTGAGAGAGCAAGGGGATCCACCAGAAGAAGACCATCTGGGCAAACAAAGCCCCTTAAATTGCAGAAGAAATTTCCCAAAATTAAAAAGAAAGAAAGAAAGAAAAATGTCTTCTGTAGGGGAAAAGCAAATTTCATTTTGAGAACAAAGTTTGGTTTTAAAAGCAAACCATTTGCTGTTTCTCTAAAAGGTGCTGAAAATTTGCTGATAAGGAGAATGAATTGCTCTCCTGCCTTAAGCAGCCATGTAAATAGGACTCAAAAAGGCTGAGGGTTCCAAAGCAGATAACCTTATTAGCAGCCTGCACTTCCTGACAGATTGTGGCTGGAGTCAGGGTAGTTCTCAAAAGAGTGGTGGTACTTTCAGAAATAGGATTCCTGGGTCAAGTTCTCAGATACATGATTTCCCCCGACTCCCAACAGTAGCATCTGTGTAGAAAGAAGTAGGACTCTAACAGGGGCAGGTGGGAATGGGGGTGGGTAGGGAGGTGACAGCCAGGTGAGGAAGGACTGGGACACCGGAATAATCACTGGCAGCCCCTTGCCTACAGTCTCAAAACTTGTGCCTCAAGCTCCCCTCTAAACTGACAAAAAACTCTGATCTTTCAAATCTGTTCCCTGAGACTCAGAGCTCCTGTGGCAAACACATTCACACAACTCCAGGGAGACATGTACAATATTAGACAATTCCAGCTTTACTGTTGGCTGGTAACCACTTAAATTGCATTGCCATCACATTGCTGTTGTTTTAAAGACATTTTCAAAAGACTTCTTTCCTTTCCCCCATTCACTATGGGTTGTAGATCTCAGTTCTGTGGTATGGAAATCAGATTAGAAAAATCAAAGTGAGGACAAAGGCTCTGTCTCTGGGAATGGCAGCACAACAGGTTAGGACTTCAGAACTCCAGTGATCATATTCGGTAGTTAGAACAACAAAGCTGATCTTAGAGATGCCTTATTTGGACACTAGTTTTTAACATGTCACTAATGGTTATTAACCAGGCATTTCAAGGGCAATAAATTGTTTTTCCCAAACTACCTTTTTAGACAGTTCCACACAAGTACAAAAATAAAAAGAAAGGGCACTGGATTGTGAGTCCTTAGACGGGCTCTGGCCCTGGCTCTGCCCTAAATGGGCAAAAATGTTTCCTCTCTGGGAGGCCTCAGTTTTCTCATCTGTAAAATGAGGGGGTTAGCCTGGTCATCACAGAGTGCTTTCTAGTTCCAAAACTATAAACTAAACTCCATGTGGGGCAGAGATGGAAGAGTCACAAACACACTACTTGTGTTTCTTTACAATAAACCTGAATTCTTCACAGCTTGATTTTACCCATCCCCAAGACGGAAACTCTACTCAGACCTGGTGGCCTGCACCTTCTCACACATGTCCTTCCCCTCCCTCTGATGAATTACTATTACCTTCCCTTTTGGCATAAGCCCTTTCCTTCCTACCTGGAGCCTTAGCCCCAGCTCACCTTCTTGAGGAAGTCTCCCCACATGGACCCCGCTCCTTCCTCTTCACCAATCCTCTCAGGAGAGTGCCGGCTTTATTCTGCCAGCACTGACACTTGTTTGGTGTAGCTTGTAACATAATTCTCAGTCGTTTTCCTGTGGGTGTGTCTTTTCTTCTTCTGTCCCATACCCTGGCTTTCCTGCTCAACGAGGTTCTATATGTGGGAGTCAGGGTTGGGGGGTGGTGTGATAAGGTGACCAGTCCCTCCTTCCAGCAAGGAGGGGGGCAGGAAAGGGCCAAGTGGGGTGATCAAACAGAGTGTCCCATTTCCTTCCTGTCTCATTTCTGTCAAAGATAGTTTGACAAGCATAAAATGAATGTCTCGGGTAGTGATGGCAGTCTTGGGTGCAGTTCTATCAGGTGGGCAAGGAGGGGCTGAGAAATGTGTATGTGTGAGATGATGGGTGGGTTCCACCTACCGTCCACGGTGACTTGGCAGGAGCACTCAGCCTGGCCGGCACTGTTCTTGGCCACACACTTGTACAAGCCTCTATCCTCAGGCAGAGCCTTCTCGATGGAGACAGAACATAATGAGCCTGGGAAGGGAGAAAAAATTAAATTGTTGAGTGGACCAGGAATGAGGCACCCTGGCTTATGGAGCATGGCAGGAGAGTGCTACTCACATGGCAGCCTTGTGGCAATCAAGCCCCTTCCCCACCAAAGCCAGGGCACTATCTGTTGATAGCCTACATCCAAAGTAACAGATCCCTCCTGATGCCCTCCCCTCCAGACAGCCTTCTTATGGGGATGTGATGGAAAGGTACAGAAGAAGGGAGAGAAATAGCCTCTGCCTTTGTGGAGCATTGATACAATGGAGGGAGACAATACACAGGACCCACATTCAGATGTCCCAGGAGAGACAAAGAGCCGGGCACAGGTTTACAGATCCGTGTCAGGCACAGTGGCAGGTGAGAAGGCTCTGCCCAGCTTACAGCAATGACTCTGGGAATGCTTCTTACAAATGGGAGCTTTGAGCAAAGAGGTGGGTTGGGAAGGGCAGGAACCCTTGTTCAGCAGGGCAATGGCCTGCGGGAAGATCTCTTTGGAGGAGAAGGTGACATATAGCCTGGGAACCTAGAGCTGGATTTTCAAGAAGGGTGTATGAGCTGAAAAATCATGGCAAGGAGGGGCAATGGGCCAGACACCTTGGGGCTGCCCGCCTTCTGTGTAGGGTCTCCTAGTCACCTCAGAGAGGGTTAGAACTCTCATGTGGATCTACCCTGGGCTCAGCACACTTTTTCTGGCCTGGCTAGGGGAAGAGTCAGGCTATGCATGCATAGGAACCTGCGCCTGCTCCTTGCCCATCCCAGCTCCTTATCCTATAGCTGGCTACTTCTCCTCTGAGGCCCCCTTGGGGGCTTCTGGTCAGGGTGTGAAGAGACCCCCACAGGGCACATTGCTACTGGGTAAGGCAAGAGGTCAGCAGTCTCCTAGTTCCTGCCTTCAGATGCACAAACAAGCCAACACCTGGCGTCCTGCCCAAAGCTGCCCCTATTGTCAGGGCAGCAGTCCATAACAACAGGAGGAGGGGATCTCCAGAGAGCCAGAGCCACGTGCATCCTGCTGTTTGGAGCCACTGGTTTCAGTCAACCTCACCCTCCCACCCCCAACCCCACCTCACATGAGTCAATAACACTGGAGGCAGAGCTGTGTGCATGACAGGTGTGCGTGTGGGAGCAGCATGACCAGAAGAGAAGGGGTTGGACCCATTCCCAAAAGGGCCTTCTAATCTCAAAAAGCACACACTCACTGCCACTTGTCCTCCCTCAGACAGATCACAGACTCAATCAACAAACACACGAGATATTAAAAAAAGGAAGGATGCTATTAGTTCTGCCAGAGAGCCTCACTAAGGTGAAAGAGAAAGTAAAAGTGTAATAGTTCTTTTTACTCTTTGGCACCTGGGTAATGTTTTAAACAGGGAAACCCTAGTCCTACAAACCACCTGGGGCCCCTTCTCCCCACTCTGACACTCTTTACTATCTCTCATGTAAGATCCTAGGGAGCTCTGATGGCACTGTGGTGAAAGCATTGGGCTGCTAACCAAAAAGTCAGCAGTTCGAACCCATCAGCTGATCTGTGGGAGAAAGTTGAGGCAGTCTGCTTCTATGAGGATTCATGGCCTTGGAAATTCTTTGGGGCAGTTCTACTCTGTCCTATAGGGTTGCTATGAGTCAGAATCGACTGGAGGGCAGTGGACTTGGTTTGGTTTTGTATATAGATCCTATTCCCTAGACATGGTGTCCTTTTAAAGATCTACCTATGCAGGATCAACTGACAACAGCAACTAGAAAGGTTACAAAGAAAGCTTAGGGGGCAGTGAGTTTATATTAATGCAGGAGGAACAACTTGGAAAAGAACGGTGAGAATGGTTGCACAACTTAAAGAATGTAATCAGTGTCCCTGAATTATACTTGTGCAAATTGTGAAACTGGTGCATGTTTTGCTGTATATATTCTCAACAACAGCAGAAGACCCTACTCCTCAAGGAAAGGCCTCACTGTGTTCCCCTGTGGGAGTGGGCCATGGGTCAGGGTCTTTCCCACTGTGGTGAGGTAAAGACATTTGCAAACACTGTATCAGAAAGGATTCAGGTTGAGTTTTTAGGTAGTTTGTCACAAGAGTGACAGCTTGGGCAGGGAATAGGGGAGTAAGGATAATTATCTTCTAGGGAAAGAATCTCCATCCACCTGGGAGGGCAGTTGGATGGTGAGAAGATTTCAGTCCCCCAAACTCAAGACTTAGAGGAAACTGACCTCTTCTTGCACCTTTTCCTCAAAATGGGTCTACGACTCTGGGAGCAGATATCCTACTCCCAACAAACATCCTATCCAACCTTTATTTTCTTTTAGTTTCAGTCTCCCAGTTGCCTTTAGCCTTAAACCAAAGTGGCAAAACTGCAAAGACAGCAATGAGGCCACTAGAAATGGATCATTTGGAACCTAGCACCCCAGCTCACCCAGTCAAGGGGCCAGCAGCAGAGCAGGCAGCTTTTTCACTGTCCACAGCCAAGACCCCTGGCCATATGCGTGGGCTGGGGGAGGGGCCCCCAGGCAGGCTTGGAGGCTCAGCTACCCCAGATGAAGAATCTGGCATTTCCTGTGGGATAGCTCATTCCTGACCTCCAGAAGAAAAAACGTTTCCCAGCAAATTTTTTTTTTTTTTTTTTTTTTTTGAGAAGCCTCAGCTTGGTGGGGAATTTTGAGAGGGAGATGCTGGGGGATGGGAGAGGTCGCAACAGAACAAGAACCTAATGAATGGCTTAACTAGAACCTTCCCTGTGAGAGCCCCTCAGGGCCACGGAATAAGTGCTCCCAGGTCTGGAGTCTTCCCTATCTTCCTTCTTTCCTGAGTGTGTGGGGAGAGGGCAGGAAGGGGATGTAGGTGGTGGGAGGTAGCAACTTGAACCCCTGGAGGCTCTGTTCTGAGGCTGCCCTTTGTCAGCAGACCTTCCTGACTCGGTCCACCTGGCAGGCCCAGGCCTACAGTGTGGTCACCTCCTCAGGATGGTGTCTTCTGTGTCCCTTCCAAAACCCCCAGCCCTAGTTGGTCCACTTCAGTGCTCCCAAGCCGCCCTGAGGTAATCTTTACCAAAGCACTTCTCACAAGGCCATTGCTGCATTATATGCTGTCTCCCACACTCACTCTCTAGGGGCAGTGACCATGCCTGTTAGAATGAATGTTTTTCCTGAGCCTGGAATGCAGTCGCAGTAAAATAAATATTTGCTATTCTGAGACTGACAATGGTCCATTTCTGTAGCAGGTGATCTGGTAGAACGTATGCAAGAAAAGGTCATGAACACTTAATCAAATACAACCTACTGTTAGAAGAGATAATATAATTTCTAAAAGGAAAAAGAATTTCTAGTTCACTGGTTCTTTAAGTGGATTATGCTTATGACTACTGGGGTTAGAAAAGTACCTCGCACATAGTAAGTGCTGCAGATGAATTTATACAGGTTTTGAAAAATCCTTCACAAGATTCCACCCTGAAGGCAATTAAAGATGAATCATCACTTAACAACAACAACAAAAATGGATTCTTGTGATTAAATTGTGAGGCATGTTTTGTCATGGAGAGGAGCCTGAGCTGGCCTAGAGACAGGAAATGAGGCGTAAAGATAAAAGCTCCTCTCGGAATAACAGAATCCTAGTGTCAATGAGCTCTCCTTGGCTCAGGTAACAACTTGATCCCACCCCACGGCCAAAGTTCAGGAGCCTGAGACATCCACATGGTAGGTCTATGGGGTCTAGGTGCCTGTCCCCAGAGGGCAGGGGAGCCCCAGCCTGTGGTACTTAGAGCACCATCCACTCTGCAGCTAGGGAAAGATGTAGGAAGAGGATGGACACCTCCACATGCCTGTCTGTCTTGCCAAGAACTAACAGTCAATGCTAGTTGACTGCAATCACATCTTTTCTCCTGATCTCTTCGGTGCTCAGTGGAAGTGATGTTGTTCTGGTTTAGGAAGCCTGCAGGCTATGAACCCTGCTCAAACTACAGACATGAGCTAAGTGGCCCAGAAACCTAGCAGGAGGTGCACACATTGATGTGGGCAGAGGAGAGCACATGAGTTTCTCTCTGAAGGAAGTGAATCTTGATTTTAGAAGAGGTGACATCACAGGGCTCAGTGAAGCAAGAAAGGTTCCAAGTCAAGGAGGCAGCCCATCAAGAAGCTGGGGCAGGGGAGGTGGGTGCTGGATGGAGTACTTCATCTTCCTCTACTACAAACTACCTCAAACCACCAGCTTCCAGCTTCCTTATTTTCACCAATTGTATCACTGTGACCCCAGTCACCCAGATGCTCCATCCTCTTCTTTCCCTACCCACTTCCAAACCCCTTCCAAGGATAATTCTATTCTTTCTTCTTAAACTGTGTTCTTAAACCTTTAAGTCTGAGCCTTACCACCTTTCTCCCTGACTTCTTCAGTAGCCTTCTTACTGATCTCTTGGATACGGACTCAATCAAAATCCTAAAACCCAGCTTTGTGTACCCGGCTCCCCACTGTCTTCAGAACTGAATTCCAGAGGATGATATATGATAAACTCAGGACCATGCCTTCCTTTCAAGCTCAGCTGGCTTGTTTCTATGTCCCAGAAAGTGCTGTGAGCAGGTCCACTTTTGGTGCTGCTGACCTCCTGCCTAGAAAGCCTATACCCTCCCTCTTCCCTGCTGGTCTAAGTGCCTGGCCTGCCTTCAAGTTCAGATCAAGGCCTGGCTCTTTTCACCACCAGCCTTTCCCAATGGCCCCAGCACTGAGCTCTCTCTTACTTGCATAGCCCATCCTGATACCACTTGGCTTGTATAGTGTTATCACTGTGAGGATGTGTCCTCTCTTTCCAAATCTATGGAGAGAAGATCTCTCACTCTAAAAATGCCCTATAACCTGCAAAGGGACTGCTGAAGTGGCAACTGATAAGGCCTAATGATAGGCTTTCTGCTGGTACTCCTGTGTGAAGACTGGGTGAGTAGTGAAGCTATAGAGAAGGTGACAGACAGAAGGTGGGGCTGGGATTTTGAGGCAAGTCACTCTTCCCTAGTGTGGCAAGAATGGATAGGCTCATTTCAAGGTTGGCTTCTTCCACTGTATTGAAAATACCAGACAGTTGGTGAAGGAGGGGCACCCCAGTCTTCTAAACTTTTGACAGCTGTGAACAATGTTGAGAAGTTAGTAGCCATTAGCTTTTGCTTTTGATAGACAATGCTTTTTAGGACTTATCATTAAAGGTTGCTCAGCTGCCTCCAGTCTTCTGACATACCAATAAGGTTGCATTAGGGCACAGTGGTTCAGGTGCAGGAACTCCGCCTGTATTCAAGTCCCAGCTCTGCTGCTTATGACTTGTGCAACCTTGAGCACAGTTCTTCTCTGTTAAATTGGCATCAGAGCAGTTGTGAGGACTAAATGAGTGGGAAAGGTAAGATGCCAAGGACACTGTCTGGCAGACAGCATTCAATAGAATACAAACTATTCTTATGTCTAAAATGAGATTTAAAATTAATTTAGAATCTTTTCTAAAGTATGATTTGGGGCTGCCTCATGAATCTCTTCTGGTCCCTTTCCATTCTCATCACTTCTTGTGATGGCCTTTCTTTTAATCATTTCTTTTTCCTTTGCTTCGAACCTAAGCTATCTCTTTCAGATGGTTTTCATGTGAGACAATGCTGAAGCAGCTGGGGTCTTTATGCTGTTTAGTCCTCAGAGAACAGCAGATAAAACAAGTCTATGGCACTCTGGGCATGAGTAGCCAGACCTCAGTTAGCTCAGGTGTGCTTTGGTCTGGGGTCTGCCTTACATTGCTAAGTTGAGTGGATTATTTTAAGTGGCCATTCGTGGCTCTGGGTTTAAAACCCATGTAAGGTCCCAGAGCAGCTGCTCAGCTTTGAGCATTGCCCTCCAGCTGTCTCCCTGAGTTGGTGCCACCATAGACCTCACTTTGTGCAAGCCTGTTGGATTGCACATGTTCCAAGGATGGCAGTGTCCACCCTTTGTCTTGTCTGGAGAGACCGTCATGGGGTAACTTGGGAAATGCTTCCAGGCAAGCTTTCAGATCAGTTTTCCCAAATGGAAAGGCCACACAAAGAGTGACAGAGCAGGCTGTGACATCCACTCCTGTGCCCATCTGTGTGTGGACCTCAGGGAGGCAGAGCTAGTAGAGTTAGGGAATGGATGGGATGACTTCTGGAAGACCTGACCAATCTGGGGCCATCCCATAAACAAGTTACTGTGTCAACACATTAGCAAAAAATAATGTATTTTTCTCTCTCCTGGACAATTTCCCCTTCACTCCTTCAGCATTTAGAATCAAAAGGCTCAGCTATGCCAGATTTGCTGAGGTGCAGAGTGAAGACAGAAACTTCACTGTGAGCTAACTGTTGTCTTCAAAGACTTCATTCCACTATTTAAGAGGAAAGAAGGACTCAAGGGACGAGGGAGGGTCTGGAAGGGAAGGAGTGAGTGCACCGTGGAAGAATGAGGGATTCTGACGTCTCAGTTGGTTTGGACTAGAGCAGGACCTGTCCATTCCTGTTTCACAGGGCCACACTCTGCCCACCAAGGGTAAAGCTTCTTGGTACCCTGCTGTCCAGAGCCATCAGCATCAGCTTCAAGCTGAGGCAGGACTCTCTTCTAGCTTTGGTGATCTTGTTCCATGTTGGCCACCAGAGTGTGGTGTTGAATGTCTGCCAGCCTGGGAGCACCCCCCAGGCTGGGATTTACAAAAACACTTTAAATCAAATTGAAGGTCCAGGGAAAATACCCCTTCCACTCCCCCACTTCTTCTCCAGGTATAAACTGGCCCATCTGAGAACTCCAGATCCCAAAAGGCCACAGACGGCAGGATCTAGAGCCCCCCTTCTTCTTCCCACCACCTAAGAATGTGAAATACCAACAAACAAAAGTCTCATCCAAATTAGGAAGCAAGTAGCTCTGTCTGCCTGTATGTGAGAGCATTAGGGGCTGTTTTGAGTTTTTGGCTTCCTCTCCAGGTCTCACCAAACTCACAGTGTTATCAAGATTTAAATTACTGTTGACCCCAAATCACAGTCCCATGCTATCCCATCACTGCTCACCCTCAGTGCCCGGCAGTTTCCAAGCCTGCAAACAGAGTTGTCCTTGCAAACAGATGCCAAGACCTGGACTTGTGCCACCAGGACCAGACTCCTGCCTCCCCCCACCCCCAGTAATGGATCATATATCTAAGGCCCCAGGGGGTACCTATTCTGTGGGTGAAGGGTGAACATGAGCTGTGCTTGCCAAGACCAAGGCTCCATAAGCTGACAAGTCCCCTTCCTCCCCGTCCCTTGCCCTCATTTACCTTCTTGGGAGAGGATGATGAACTTGGTGGTCTTGAGAGTCTTTCCATTCAGTGTCCAGGTGATGGTGGCTGGTGGGTCAGAGGACACCTGACACTGGAGTAGCAGCTTCTTGCCCTCTGCCACATGGACATCTTGTAGCTTCTCCTTGAAGGTTGGAGGTGTCCCTTGGCTTTCTGATCTTTTTTCATTATCTGGGACTCCTGCATGCCCCTTCTTGCAGTTCACATCATTTTTAACCTCCTCCTTGCATTCTCCTTTCCCAGCTGGTATTGGGGTCTCAGCTGGCTTGGCATTGCCTAGAGGTTTCAGGGTCTCAACAGGCTTGGCATTGCCCATAGGTTTCAGGGTCTCAGCAGGCTTGGCATTGCCTATGGGTTTTAGGGTCTCGGCTGGCTTGGCATTGCTTACAGGTTTCAGGGTCTCAGCTGGTTTGGCGTTGCCGACAGGTTTCAGAGTCTCGGCTGGCTTGAGGTTGCCCACAGGTTTCAGGGTCTCTGATGGCTTGGCGTTGCCCACAGGTTTCAGGATCTCAGCTGGCTTGAGGTTGCCCACAGGTTTCAGGGTCTCGGCTGGTTTGGCATTGGCCACAGGCTTCAGGGTCTCACCTGGCTTGGCATTGGCCACAGGCTTCAGGGTCTCACCTGGCTTGGCATTGGCCATAGGCTTCAGGGTCTCTGCGGGTTTGACATTGCCCACAGGTTTCAGGGTCTCTGCTGGTTTGACATTGCCCACAGGTTTCAGGGTCTCTGCTGGCTTGGCATTGCCCACAGGTTTCAGGGTCTCGGCTGGCTTGGTGTTACCCATGGGTTTCAGGGACTCTGAAGGCTGTGCATTGCTCACTGCCTTGGGGCTCTCCACTCCTTTGGCATTCAAGGTTTCAGCACTGGTATTACCATTCTCTGCTGGTAACTTCTTCTTGCTGCCCAGTACTGAACGGAAATCTGGGGTGGTAGATTTTGGAGGTGGCACCTTCTCAGGCACTGGGGTCTTGGATGTCCCCTTCTTGGCCAGGACTGAGCGGAAGTCCACCTGCTGGGGGCTATGCACCTTCCTCTCTTCCTCTGACACAGTCTTTGGCTTCACTTGCCGCTGCAGGTTGGCGCGGAAATCCATCTGCTCAGCTGGGATCTCCTTCAGGTCGTCTTCTGACAAGGTCCTGGTGCTTACCTTCTTCCCCAGGAGGTCACGAAAGTCCAGCTGCTCCACCTCCTGCTGGCGAATCGCCTCCTCAGTGTGTTGCCGTGTCTCCACACGCCTCTTCAGCACTCCCCTCACGTCCTCACTGTCTTCCTCCTCTGGCCAACCCTGCCCTCTGGATGGCCAGCTGGGTCTCAGGGTTCCATAGCGATCACCACCACCACCACCATCAGCACCAACTCCTCCACCACAGAGGCCCTCACAGCTGGAAGGCTCCCTCCCCCTGTAACCAGTGAAGGGAAAAAGGAAAGTAGCAGGAGGAAAAGGGGCTGGGTAAGACAGAGACGTCAAGGGAGAACAAATCCCTGAGGGTGGGAGGGTAGAGAGGAGAGGGGAGAGGAGGTGGGGGCTGGCCAGGCTGTGTTTATAGAAGGGAACATTGGTGAGAGGAGCTCGCTTGTTTAGTTGGGTTATTACATCGGTAATGACTTCAGTAGCCTTATAAGGGTGTGTGCAAAAAAAAAAAAAAAATTCACCCCCCCCTCCTCTGCTCCCTCCCTTATTCCCCTTCCAATCTCTCCCTCTTGGCTCTGGCAGCCTCTGGCTGGAGGATACAAACAATCTGGGGCTGTGAGGCTGGGTTTTCAGGGGCCAGGAGGAAGAAGCATGGTCAGGGAAAGGTGGATGGGTGGGTGGGTGGTAGAGTGGGCCTCACGGAGCACTCACCTTGAAGGGGCTCTGGCAGGGCTGGTCTGTAGCATCAGTGACACCTGGCAACTGCATTCACCAACCCGGTTCCTGTAGAATTCAAGGCATCAATGAAGATCAAGAAGCTCTCTGGGCAAGAAGCCTATTCAGCCTAGGGGCAAGGCCAGCGTGGACTTGGCCACAGGCTGGCTGGCCACCAGGGAAGGCAGGAGATCACAGGCTCAGTTTGACTCCAACACTTCTACTACAGACTTAGATTTAGGATAGGGCCTTCTCACCTTTTGGTCACGCTTTGTTTTCTTAACTCTTGTTTAAAATGAAAAGAAAAAAGAATCTTTTGGATAACAGTTAAGACTGGCATCCAGAAGTAGGACTGTTTTATCCTTTTTTTTCTGTAAGTATATTGTATTTGACGATAAAAGGATAAAAATAAAAGTGAAACCTGCTGTGACTGTGGTGGAGAGGATGGCCATCCCTGCACAGGATGGGCAGGAAGGCTCTGCCTGTGGGTACCTGGAGTCGCATTTCATGCTCCCTTGATATAGAGGTGGCCACTTCCTTCTCCTGATACTTCCCCTCCTCCTGCTCATGAAACAAAAACTCTCCTACTCCCACCCCATCCATCTGCTGATGCCCTTAGTTCAGAGCTTTTTGTATCAAAAACCTAACAAGTGTCTCCTTACATGGGTAACCCTTTTTCTTCTTCTTTCAGGTGGGGTGGACCCCAGATTCTTCATGTCTGTGAAACCCTTCCACCGTGGGGTGTGCGTAGCTCAGGCCCCCTCCACTCAAGGGAGGGGCTGCACCAAGGGGCTTGGACTAGCAGCAGATCATCCCTCCAGCCCCACAAGGCTGCCACCTGGTGGTGTGTCAGAGCTCTGACAGAATGAGGGACGGTAAAGGTGTTCAAGAGCCAGGGGACTCTTCAAGATAATAATGACTGCATTGCTTTATGGCACCCTCCATCTCTCATACACATTATTTTAAAACATTATTGTTCTTGCTTCTCCCAACATTTCAGGGAGGTACAGAGCACAATTGTGGCCATTCTAAAGAGAAGGAAAGGAAGTCTAGGGTTTTTGTGGAGCAGTGCTGTCACTATCAGGGTCTTAGAACATCAGGGTTCACACTCACTCCCTGGGACTGGGGTGTCTTATTAGCACTGCCAGGGCCAATCTATGGCTCTGATTCAACTACAGATGTGTCAAGCTCTGTGATACAGTCCTTACATGATCCACCTCACTTAATTTGTGACAAGTCTGCAAGATAGGGGTTAATTCCATTTTTATATGTAAGAAGAACGACGTTTTCAAAGGTTAAGGAAGTTGCCTCAGCTCAGAGCTAACTAGTAGGAGAAGGGATTAGGATAGAGGTCTACCCCAATCCAAATTCTGTGACTTTCCCACCCCATCATACAATGTTCATTAGTATAAATCTATTCTGGGATATATGTGTGTATCTATGCATGTCTATGTGTATATGTCTATGTTAGTCATAAGCACATATACACACATATGTGGGGTCTACATGGCAGGCATGTAAATCATAGCCACATGAACAGACCTCAATTTAAAGGGCCTCCCTTCCAATGGAGGTCCAACTCTGGTCAGATGCTAGCAGGCCATGGCATGGCAGACAATTCATCTGTCTAAGGGATTGCCTGCAGTCCATTTGAAGCAAGGACAGGTTGCTGTTTGCCACCTCTCACCTGACAGGACACCCTCCTTTATTATCCCTCTTCCCGGAGCCCTCATGCTGCCCCAAACCAAACCAAACCCACTGTCTTCAAGTCGGATCCGACTCCGAGAGACCCCTCCTTGGGTTTCAGAGGCAGTATCACTATGGAAGTAGATTGCCCAACCTTCCTTCTGAGCAGTTGTTGGTGGGTTTGAACCACCAGCCTTCTGATTAGCAGTCAAGGGCCTTAGGCACTCTGCTACTAGGCCCTGGGAAGGCTAAAAGGCCCTTAGAGCTCCCTGAGAACTCAGTATTCACACTTAGCAAGTTTATGGAGTGTGGGTCAATTTGTAGGATACCCATGGGAGGCCATTTTGGGGCTGAGGCTCAGCCCCCTGGTCCCGTTTCTGCCAAGCTGCGGATGGTGTGGGGCAGGAGGACAAGACATTTAAGGGCTGTATCTTCTGGTAACTCTTTTGTGTTCTATGACATCCCCTCATAGAACACAGCCCAGACACAAAAGTTAGGAGAGATACTGACCTGGTAGCACTGTTTTATCCCCAGCAAAGTCTCAGAGGCATTTAATGGTGGGGAGTCACAACCCTTGAGCTGGAATAAGCTATATCTCTCCTTGGGGGAAACAGGTAAGGGCTTCTGGTGTTTTCTATTACCTGCTCTCAAGGAGAGACACACAGATAAGGAATAGCCCAGCAAGACCTTCTGCTCAAGCTGCCCCTAGGCCTCACCCTGAGGCCCTCAAGGCAGTCTGAGGGGCCAGAATAAAGGTGAAGAACTTGGGAACTATGACTGGCCCACTAACTAGATCATCCTTAGGGGTCAATTAAAACTGAACCAAACCTGTTACCTTAGACTTGTGTCATAGAGTCCATTCTGACCCTATAGGACAGAGTAGAACTGTCCCATAGAGTTTCTAGGGCTGTAAATCTTCATGGAAGCAGACCACTCCACCTTTCTCCCAAGGAGTGGCTGGTGGGTTTGACCTGTTGGTTAGCAGACGGATGCTTTAACCACTATACCACCAGAGATCCCTGGGGGGTGATTACTCCAAAAAACCCATGGCCATCGAGTCAGATCTGACTCATGGCGATTCCCATTGGGTTTCCAGGGTGGTAAATCTTTACAGAAGTAGATTGCCCTGTCTTCCTCTCAGGGAGCAGCTGGTGGGTTTGAACCTGCAACCTTTTCGTTAGCAGTCAAATGCCTTAGGCACTGCACTACCAGAACTCCTTTGGAAGGTGACTAGGAGGTAACTATTTCTACAACCATAAATTTAGGTCTCCACTGGGCCTTTAAGATGATTTATAGGTTAATTTAGAGCCTTCAAAGGTCAGAGACCCACTGTCAGATAAACTAACCAGTAGGACCAGCCTCTTGGGGCCATCCTTGGCATCCGTGAACACCCAGTTACAAAATGAAGCCTGGGATGAGGATGAGGTTCCCCGGCCCAGGCGCTTCCTCAGGATATGGGATAAGATGTGCCTTTTACAACCTAATAGAGCCCTTTTTTTGCCCCAGATTCCTAAGCCCTAAATATGCCCACTCTTTGGTTACAAAGCCTTGGACCTCATCCCACTCTGAATCATTCACCTCTGGAATGAATTTTATATGAAAAATTAGTTTAAAGAACTAATTTCCTGGCAAGTGTCATCAATCTTTTAAATATTTTGGAATTCAACATTTCCCTTTAGTTCAGGAGATGAGAGCTGGGAAGGGAGGAGAGGTGAAAACTCTCTACCCACACCTACCCCACAACTTTAGAGGGACAGGACCTGTGCTCTTCTGCCCTCCTCCCAGCCCTCCAGGCATCCTCCTTGAAAGGCATTCTGCCTTGAGTCTAGGTCTGACTTATGTCAAGATGAGAAAAGCTAGAGGAGAACAAGGTCCCTGGCAGGCCTGGCACACACTCCCCAGGAGAACTTTCCACTGACTTGCTCCTTCTCAGCTGGGGACTAAGCCAAGGCCAGGGTAACAGCCTCACAAAGGAATGAAGAGGCTGGACTTTGGGGAGGGTAAAGAGGAAACTCAGCATGATTTCCCAGGTTCCTCAAGTTCCCAGTGCGCTTGACAGAAACTCCCCATGCTAGGCTTCAAGGAATGGAAGGACATAATGGAAAGCTGGTTCTTCGAGCCTGTACTCTGCTGCTTGCCTTTGGGTGGCCATGAAGAAGTCCATGACCCTGAGACCTTGGTGTCCCCCATTATTAAATGAGGAGGAGGTTAGATAGCTTCTAAGGTCCCTTCCAGCTGGGACAGTCTCTGTTTTATGACTGTCCTTGGCTGGCCCCAGACAGTCTGCCTGCTGGCCTCCCAGTGCAGACCTCCACTCAGTCCTGGCTCTCTTCCCACAGCCCTTTGCTTTGCTCTTCCCGATCCAGCATGTCCTCAACAGCAAAACCTTTTCTCACTCACCAAGCCTCACCCTGTCCTTTTTACCTCTCAAAATTCCACTAAAAGCTTGTCTTTTCTAGGATGTCTGTCTTGATTAACATGAGTATGGGCTCAAAGCACTACTACTTCTATGCAGAAAAACTCACCATCAAATATCTCCACATATAATCACTTCCTATTAT